GACGGATGTGACCAATACGAGACATTGATAGTACTCAAGAGTGCATTGTGTACGAGCACCGAAATAAACATACGCCACTCAGCGTAACCCGCATCTTTTGATCCTGGCATCTGTTAATGACTGCATGCTGATACTTTTGCAACAATTCAAAAAAGGTCACTCTGTCCCTCTATTTCTCTCTTTTCTGCTGCATCTTGGCATTCCTTGTGATCAGCACACCATTGTTTACTCCGTCTTATTCAAAGCACACAAATGTTTTAACTACCACCCAATTCAAATTCCCTTCAATCAGACAAGCCAACCTATATTACAGCTAGCCTACTCGTGTTTCCAGTAGTTCCAACTAACCAATCTGGTCCCACACTTGAAGGTTTAAAAACGATAAAGTCAGCTTGCCCACTAAAATAAGCTCGATCATCCCCCTCTGCGTGGTTTTCTTAACTTTCTTTTGGCGAAATCTTTTTTGCACGTTAATGTGTTTACATTTATGTGATTCATTAGAGTTAGAGTTTTCGAAAGTCTGCCAAGTCAATAAAGCTTTCGGGCTACTGTTTTTAGGCAAGACAGCCTGTTCAGTCCGGGCTAAGTTATAGGTGATAGCATGTCAAATACCTATCAGTTCATACTGACCCCACATGAGAGTTCTGAAAGTTCAACTATGTTCCTCAACTTGATTTTAAAATCTATCCAGCTGAGGTGGTTCACAATAAGAGCATTCGCCTGCAATCGACGCCGCCACTTCTTCCATAGCCATCAATTTCGAATCTCGTCGATAAGGTGAATACTTGAGTGGAAGTAGAATTTCGATGACTACGAGTGAACAGTATCTCTTTCTTTAGCTCATTTTGGGCGTCTAGCTCCCGAGTTTCTCAAGTGGTTAACTTTGCCCATGATCTGTCAATTGAAAGGTTATGGCTGGTACCCTATTGTCTTCGAAAGCCATTAAGAAGGTGAAGTGAAGTGTGATCTTAGTAGTATAAGATGTAAAGAGCACTGCGACTGGTAAGCACAAGTAAGTTCGGGTTTGAGTCTAGTCCGAGAAATCCGGGACAGTGGTTCACCCCCAACCTTCGCATCGCGCATTGTGGCACAAAGCGGTATGTATTTCTGATAACCTTTGCTGACTCCTGAACTCATACTGATTCGCATGAACCAAGCCAGCACAACGAGCCTTGAATCGGCTGGTACATGGTCTTCAAAGTCTTTCTTGACCTAGGATAGCTAGCCACCTATATTTGTTCTCATTACTGTCAAGTGTGCGTCATGAGCGCTTAAAAGCTCGCCGCCTGTCGCAACATCTTTAGCGCAAATTCTCGCGCATCTCACCCCTTGATACATAATGGTTCTACATGAGTATCACCTCGTAACTATTTGCTGTCTTGCATTACATTCCTTCAATCTTTGTATCTTCCCCAAATTTTCCAACTTTCATCAACATCAGATCAAGTTTAAAAACATCCAGCTTATTGGAAGGATGCTGCAGAAGGGTGGTTCAGCATTCAGTAAAGGTTACCGGAATACAAAACAAAGCGCAGTGTTGCAATCTCATCCTTTTCACGAAACCTACAATAAAACATTGATTTGTGAAACGTAGCATCCCCTTTGAATTTCTGGGATATCAGTGATCCCCGAATCCCTCTTGTTGAAGGATCAGAACAAAAGGAACCTTGGAAACCCTCAAGATGATCGAAAGGCCATCCACACATATACCTACAAAGATAACCGAGCAAATGGTAGTGTGTCACATTAACGTCCGAGCGAGATCCAGTCTGATAGAGCTGTATTTAAACAGGGTTTTAGCGGACAATCGGTTTGATGCGACGGAACGGGTATACTGTAGGAAGACGTCACAACGCTAAACGACGGAATTTATAGTTTTTCGCTCAGAATCTCACATGGAATGCAGTGCTCTGTCGAGGAATATAAAGAGAAACTAGTTCGAAATTTTTTCCAAAGAGAGCCAGGGCGAAAAATTAGCCCTATATCCCATAATGTCTGGAGATTGACAGTCCTTAAAAGTCTCGTTAGAGTTTCACACTCCCTGACATATTTACCAAGTGTCCACAGATGTGCAGATCTCCCGTGTGTTTCATATTGAAATAGACTCTTTGTTGGGAATAGGTGTTTTCCCAACCGTCCAATTGTTTTCAAGCTCTATTTACTATGCAAAATTTGATAGGTCCGCTCGGTGATAACAAGCCATTTTTGATTAGCATTTATGAGCGCTCTATTGTTTTTTCCTAAAAACTCGGTCCTGGCAACTTTTATAATCATGAAAAAGTAGTACAATTAAACGGAAGCGGAATGGCAAGGATGTAGTGATTTTTTGATATGGTGGCAACGAAGCTACTTGGGAGTTGACAACCAGCAGCAGAAAGTTCTCTCCAGCCTGATAATTTCTACTTCTGGAGCAGGCCCCATAGCGACATAAGTGTTTTCACAGGTGATTTCGAGATGAGTCTTGGCTTCTTTGAACCGTTTGACATATCAGCAATCTGCGAAAGCCTTTTTGTTTGGAGAACGTTCAACAGTTCTCCTTTTGAGCCGCCGACTGCCTTTGTTCTACAAGAACCCTGTCATTTGATCCACATCCGTTCAACTTTATTTGAATGATGGTTTACAGGCTCTGATTCTGCAAAAGCTGTGCAACATCTATTATACTGGCTAAGTAACGAGCTCAAACTCAAGTAATCAACTTAATTAGCACAGGAATCGATGCTTCTGATCAATGTACAATGTCTATTATAATCACAAACAGCTTAAAAGCAACAAAATCGGATTAAAAAATTTTGTGTGACTTCCCATGTCTAGTCTATTGACTGGTAAGGAAGAATCTTCGCTTGACATGAAACGTGTAAACCGGACGCTCTATGATTAATCCGGTAATCAGTTGCACGGTTCTCCTCTCATGGGCCGTTTACCCCGTTCTTATCGAGTTAATACACAAAATGGTTCTACCTCTACTACTGCTTCATTAATGAAAGCAAATGTTGACGACAGCATCACATTCATGAAACTCATGATCATAACTGCTCAAGAATAAGCCCAATTTGTTTATTTCGGACTTTGATTGTCACTAAACTCCGATGGATCCCACTATAGCGACCATTTGAAGGAAAACTGCTAAATATTCAGCCTCCGATTCTCCGTGCAATATTCAGGAAACGAATGTCTACTCGATTCCCTCGTCTGTGTACGAATTTGATCGTCTCTAATTTAAACGGCTCCCGTGGTCTCCAGTCCAGACCTGCTACATAAAGGAACAAATAAAAATCTCTTGAGAATACTCTTCACCATGCCACTCCTTTTCCATACAGAGTCTAAGTCCTCTTTGATGATAGCTAATTTCACCTCCTACTGCTTATTTCATAAGTAGTACATGTATCGACTACAGTATTCCGTTGAAAGTGGGCGGGATCAGCCTCCTCAGCAGCGACGACTGCCACTGCTGCGATGGCGGCACACATACCGCCTTGCGCTAATATAATTCTAACTCATGGATGAACGTCTTCGATGCAACACAGTTCCACACTTCACCTGCAACACTTCACCCTATTCGAACATCGGTTGGCGTGCTTTTCGCGGGTATTCCTTCACACAATCTACTTATGTCAGTCGGGCGCTCAACACCAATCATATCTTCTTCATACCCTTAGCGCACCTCTTTTGCCGAGCAAAATGTTGTCACATGTTTGTCGTTGAACAATATCCCCTTCAACAATGCGCCTTCATACAAACAGAAGCTAGCAAAAATTTTAATGATCCCATATTGTTTTCAATTGTTTCTTATCAAAAACTGAATTCAAAGCATGCCGCATCCAATAAAGTCGAACTCTGCTTTTATGGTCGAGATTGGGGGCTTCGCATCCCCGCGACGGCGAGTTGATGTCCTGATTTTAGTGATTCGACTCAGCCTACCTGCTTCCACAAAGTCGGTTAATGGTATGCCTCTGATGTTTTGTACACCACTTTGAATATTGCCTCGGTTGCTCAGAAAAAATTATACACAAACCTTCGATCCAGTCGTCGCGAAACTACGTTTCCCAACACTCCTCTTTTACAAATACAGACGTTCACATCATTACTCTTTTAGACCAGCCGAGATCAGCTGACACACTTGTGTTGTGCTTCGTCGCTTTGGTTAACCTCATGCTGAACATCTTTTTCGGAGACTATCCCTCACAACATCTCAGTAATGTATGTGGTTGGGTACTAGTACGAGCTCTGAATCTGAACCCATAGTGAACTTTGCAGTCAACATATTGAGCAATGGTTGAGCTCAGTATCTCAGGTGGATTGAGTGCGTTTGTGACTGAAAACCTTTGACACTTCAACATGTTGCCATGTCCTTTGAAATAATGCCAGTTCGCCTGTTCTCTGTCCCTCTTTTCGTTCATCCTCACGGCAGAGTATTTGTGATAGAGCACAAAATTTCCACATTGACTTTCTTAATGCCCGATGGAACTTCTTTTTTTTTTATCCTCTTCTAATTTTTTTTTGCTACGTTCGGTGCCTCGATCGATGGATGGTCATCGTGTTAGATGTCTCTATGTATTCACGGCATTTACAGATGCTGCCAAGTTTTGCTCCTCTAAGAGAGCATTCCATTTTTCCACGATGTTCCAACGGTGACATCATGCGTTATTGGCAAGCTTATCAACAACAACTCTACCAAATGTTCTACACTATCAACATACAGGTGAGCTTCTTTTTTGAAACTTTTTTCTTCTGCCTTTGAATATTGTAGTTCTGAGCAAAGGGAGGTCGTAACGACGGGGTTCCCTCTTGTCCTTGCACATTCACCTTTCTTCCGGTGCTGCTTAAATGAGGCATTTAGAAAAGCGCCTTATCCCATTCCCACTCTTAAGCATTTATCCGACAGAACTCCTCACTCTACAAGAGTTGCTTCTTCGTAATTTGAGAATGGTTCTCCGACTGCAATGCCAGGGGTGACGGTTTTGATCCTTTGGAGTTTATTTGTACAGAATATGAACGAACGCATGGAAGTGTTCTGTTCCCTGGAATCCTCTGAAGGGACGTCGAGCGAGCCCTCATCAGAAAAGAAGAGGTTCGACTTTACTCATCTGGCCGAGTCGATCGAAATAGAGGAACGTGAAAAGGCCAAGGTGAGGCAACACAACAAAGTTCTTCGAATGAACTGAGTAGCTATTCTTGGCTTTTCAGATTGAAACGACACCTACGCGACCACTGGCAGTGACCACGTCTCCGTACAGTCGACAACCGTGGTTAGTCTTCGGCTAAAGTCATGCTAAGCCTTAGGTAACTCTCTATTAACCCTTTGACTCCAAAAATATTCAATCTAGGTTCCTCCTGTCTGGACGAGGTCGTGCCGTAGTGAAAACGAATAGGTCTAAGAAGGAATTCATTTGCAAATACTGTAACAGACATTTTACTAAGTCTTACAATCTACTGATTCATGAAAGGTGAGCAATACACAATTAATAGTGTAAGGGTGAGCCCTTACAAATTTCCCCGATGGTCTTTCGCTCTGTTTCAGGACCCACACTGACGAACGCCCCTATTCCTGCGACACATGCGGGAAAGCATTTCGACGTCAGGACCATCTACGAGATCATAAGTGAGAAAACGGGATGTGACCTCAGCATTGTCGTAAATCAGCTCACCTCCTCTCAGGTTCATTCACTCGAAAGAAAAGCCGTTTAAATGTGGTGCGTGCGGAAAGGGATTCTGTCAGTCACGAACGCTCCAGGTCCATCGTTCCGCTCACACAGAATGTAACAGTGGCCATAACATGGATGAACAGGTCAGCCAATCTCAGCTTTAATTGATAACATCTCATACCGTAACGTTGTTGGACTTTTCATCTGGTTTTTAGGCAACGCTGATTTCTCCATCCACTGTTGATATTGAACCATCGATATCCTCCAGTTCGACGTTCTATTATAAACTCAATCCGCCGAGTCTGACATCGCGAATCTGCTGACTGGCAGGTTCACTCGCTCGCACTTCCTCACATTAGTGTAATTATTGTGCTCCTTCCTTCCGATCCTTTTTTTACAGTTCGTTACTGTTCACGCGTCGTCTCTGAGTGTGTTATAGCAGCAATCATATCGTGTGCTTTTAGGCTATCACACCCTCTTACCCCGTCTCGTCTCGATTTCATTATGGACTGATAACTAAAGTGAAGAATTAAGTGCTAATACGAACAGAATACACACACGCACCGATTCTCTGACAATACATCACACCCCATCCTCCCCCCCCCCCCCCCCCCCCCCCCCCCCAANCCCCCCCCCCCCCCCCCCTCCTCCTCATCGCAATATTTGAATAACGGAGAAGAGGTGTGTGATGGTAGTGCAAGCAGCAGTAGGGGTGGATCTAGGTTGTCCATGAACTACCTTGAATTATCTCTAATCATACTAGGATCGATTAGTGCCTTTTAAAGTATGACTCCGATGCTAGCACATGGCGCTGATGCTACAATACGGGTCTTAATCACTAAGTAGTACCGCTATGGTCACTCTCCGAATTTCATATATAAAGTTGATGCCTATAAATTTTCCTCCGTATTTGATCCTTCCGTGTTTGGTTCGCATGGAAGTTGGTGTTTCATCATCACGTGCATGATACTCTTTCATAACACTAACTATCACTCACCCACCCTGCATTTAAAGGTCACAATGCTCTACGATTTCTACAAGTTTGACGCAGGGGATGAGGTCAGAAAGCACTGGACAAATTTTCCAAGTCCCAGCCCCCGTCCTTCTGGGGGATGTAATCGACAAGGAAAAAGAATTTATGCATCAACCTAATATTATTATATATTTGAAAGACGTCCTAGCGGCGGACATGCAGGATAATTTTGTTATGAGCGGTGTGCGCATATAGTAGTGTCATGTGATTAAATTTCAATTACAATATACTATAGAATAAATGACTATTCCTTCTTTGTTGGATACTGTCTGTCTAGCTGTCTGAGCAGTCACTTCGATATCGAAACCATCTTGTTATTGCTTTCATTGTTCCCGAAAGTCTTCCCAGTGGATATCCCTGAAAATAGACTACAAGGGAATTGTTACTGAACATTTAAAAACTGGGGGTGAATAGTTCGCATGATTCCACATCATCTGCATAGCTGCTTCAAATTTTACGTTCGAATGGAAATACTTTCACTCGGTTACTCGATTACATGGTAAAAAACCACTTGAACAACACGGACAAGCTAAACATTGTGCAAGGGCTAGACTGTCAAGTTAGTTCTACGTATAGAAAATTTCCTTATGGTCATTAGTCTGATGTGGACCTTCCGATCAAATCACTGACCTTTTCAAATGTGATAAAGAAAATAAAGAAGCACTCCGAACTAATCCAGACGTAGAGATCAAAATCCCCAGCCTTTTTATAGATCCGAGTGCTACCTACGTCAGCATAGCGAACACATTCTTTCCCAGAACATCGATATGAGTCAGTTCTGTTTTTGGAGGCATTGTGCTTGGACGCAATTTCCGCTCCACCGTAGTCGTAATTGGGCGACGTCCTTTAATCTCTTGCCGATACATCGACCGTAGTGTGATATGGGAGAGGGAAGTTCTGTGCGACTGCTATCATGCCATGGTCGTCCTCCATTCTCACATAAGCTCCCAGTTCATTCCGACTATGTGCACAAATTCGTCGTCAGAAGCATTCAGAGTGCTGCTGTACGTGCTCTAAGCTGTTATGTGATTTGGATTGAGAGTGCCAGTGGTATGCACTAAAGGATAGAACTTCAAATAATGCCAGTATTGGCAACCGTTATCATGCTAGGGTACGACTTTAAACATCAAAGAGCACACTCATTTGAAGGGATTCATCAGGATGGTTTGAGAGTCGGTGAGTACTCTACCTAAAGGACGTAACTGACGTATCGCTTAGTGCTCGTCGATGTGGCACCTCCACGGTCGTTCCCATCCCCTGTGTTACCTTTAGAACATGCCGCCTTGCTTGGATTCCTTCCTGTCTGAGGCTTGTGCCTTTTCCTCTCCCTTTTACATGCTTATCATAAGAAACTGTGCATGGGAAACAAATGGCTTCAACTCTGTTGAGGAGTGGAAGCGATCAAAAACATTCAGGATATGACTCACTTGAACATTTTATTTGACTAAAAGTTCCCTTAAATTGTTGAATAAAGATTGGTCCATTTGAATTTCAGGCAAACGTACTTGTCTTTGCTGTAAAGTCGCAGAGCAGGAACTGAGGTGCGCTCTTTCTATGACATTGAAGTTGTATGGACAGTCGTATTCTTATTGCGGAAAGAATGCTGTTTGGTCAAAAACAATCTAGTTATGGTGCAATAAGTGTCCCAAAATCGGATTCACCGATGTACACACCTCAAGGCGAACGATATTTCACGGCGTTGTAGAGGCTGTAGAGGTTGCATCATTTGCACCGAAACGCAAAAGTTGCACGCAGGCAGCTTACTGTAACCAGCTGTGCGCAACAGCACATCTCGCAACAACACATTTCGTTTTCTTCACCACCTTTGCACTGTTTTGGACTATCACTTCAGTTATTTGTCTAAAACTAGATACCCAGAAATTTGTGTGAACTGTGCTTTTGAGGCATCATATTTTACTGAAAAATATTGTTATTGTGGACGGCCAAGGAAGGACAGCAAGTATTAACCGTTTCATCTTGAGTTCAGCGATCGCACAGAAATCAAAAACCATCTTTTCTGCTATGCCATCCCTCGTTTTGTTATCTCTTAATCGGTAATCCATTCTTGGGCAACTATCTGATGGTTAGTATATATTTCTGAACTGCAACTTGAACAGACCCAATATCCCAAGCGACACAACGATTTTGTTAGGGTTGTGTGACGTACTGCTAACCGTCGGGTATGATGACAAGAGGCGGTTTCGTCCGTTCATCCAACCTTATTACGGGCTGTAATGGATTGTGCTCAAGCAGTGCTATAGATGCCAAACTCAGCATGAGAAGAGAGTCGTCACTATACAGATTGTGTCAATCATTAGCTTGTATACCTTGTAGTAAGCAGAGACATCACTAATGAACAATCGGACTCATGATCGAATTTCGTACAGTCCTACCAGTCTTATCATTTCCAGAGTCGCGTGGCTTATGGCGTACACATGGGAGCAATATTCAAACAGCTCATCTAGCTTATTGTCTAGACCAGAATTCTGCTACTATCCTTGATAGCAGTCGAAATGTTAGCTAACGCCGATCAACTAGCGGCATTTTAACATCTTTGAGAACAAACTAATAAAATGATCCCGTTTATAAAGAGAATCGGGAGAAATTCACAGACTGAAATTTCAAGAATCCCTTTGTAGCAGTTTCAAATCTGAGAGTTCACCAACTACTTGAGCCCTGCACGTGACACTTCACCACATTAAAATACTTCCTAAACTTTTGGTAGTCTGTGGAACGAATTCGAACGGAACGGCCAAGTTATCTAACTCACTAAATCTCATTCGTCGGATATTGGCTTGAATGTCCATTCCTCGCAGAAAGTTGAATGCGTATGGCAAGTCAAAATGGATCGCTAAAAGCAACTACCTTATGTTCTAGTCTTTTAATGCCTGAAAGAGGCCTTATGATACTGATGTACTTCACAGAGACAATTCGGAGTCGTTCTTGAAAGTCAATTTCGGGCAAAGGCTGGATACTGGTTTCTGATCAACTTCATTTTCTAGGATAACCCCTCTTCACTCATAAGCATATACTCGCATGTACTCTCTCTAGATTACAATCAAAGAAGGAGCCCAATCGATAATTCAGAATGCAATTAAAAGAGAAACTGTTGCGAATTCTAAAAGAGCACTGTACAGATAGGTCTTTCTCGATTAACATCCAGGCTAATGCAGATTACTATGCTATCGATAGGGCAAGGATGTGACCAGAGATCAGCACCGTACACGTGTCTTGACAAGAATCTATCCAATCCATCCTAAGTGTTGGGAAATTGATGAGTATTTGAGAAGTTTCATTTCTGCATCAAGAGAGCATATTATAAGTTTTGATTCTTCTTCAGTAAAAAGTTCTTGTGTAAATGCACTGACTCGTTCACAGGCTAGCGACTGCAAGCCATTGTGAAAGGTCATGTAGGTATACCGATCAAAATGGCATATATTAAGGACAAAGTGCAAATCGGAGCGTACCTCGAGATTTCGGAGGTTTCCAGGGTTAAACTCCCTACATATTGCTCTGTACTTACCAGGGAGGGGTAGTATACTTATCTTGGAACTTTGAATTCAGATCCAGATAAATCGATAGAGTT